CCATCCCCCTCCCCAGTCCCTCTCCCCACCATTGTCCATGTCCTTGGGTTGTGCATATATGCATATAAATTCTTTGGTTACTCTCTCCCCCTCCCCCAACCGCCGTCCTCCATCCCTCTGACATTCGTCAGTCTGATCCATGCTTCCATGTCATTGAATCTATTCTGTTCATCAGTTTATTAAGTTCTTTAGATTCCACGTATAAGCGAGATCATGTGATGTTTGTCTTTCTCTGCCTGGCTTATTTCACTTAGCATAATATTCTCCAGGTCCATCCATACTGTCCCGAAGGGTACGAGATCCTTCTTCTTTACAGCTGCGTAGTATTCCATGGGGTAACTGTCCCACAGCTTTTTTATCCACTCATCTACTGATGGGCACTTGGGCTGTTTCCAGATCTTAGCTATTGTAAACTGTGCTGCTATGAACATCGGGGCACATATATTCTTTCTGATTAATGTAAGAATTTCAGAACTTTTCAATGAATAGCGCTTTCGTGGTCACTATTACTTTGTAAACTCATCTTGTTTTCCCTCTTGAAAGCCACAGGGCCGGCTCGTGGACGATGCTTCCATTGCGGCCGCGTGAGGTGCAAGATGGCCCTCGGCTGCTCTCACAGGGATGTCGAACAGAGTTCTCTACGTTTTCATTCCGAACTGTAGCGTTGATCGTGGTAAAAGTGAATCTTCTCTATTTTTTAATGGACGTTATACCAACTATTCAGAGGAACTCATGCACAAAGTATTAGGAAAGTCTATCCTCTGCTATAGTTTCACTAATAAATATTTGAAATCTGTCAGTGCGACGTGAAAAGTTGTCACACCAGTGTTGTTGAAAGTCATTTTGTGAATAGTAAATTATTTTCAAAGTAAGTGATTTGCATGTGCGACGACAGAGGAAAATCAAGCATCCAGATGTGAGTGGACGGGGAGAGGGAAATGCACTGGGATCGGCCTGGTGACCTTCTCAGTTCCCCGGAGTCCCTGTGGGGTGGGCTACACTGGAGGTGACCCATCCTCACAAATTCAGTGTGTTCCCATAACACAGACTCGGAACTTGTAAGCAATTGCATGACTGATCCAGAAAACTTCCCGAAAGCTGTAATCGGAGTCGTCTAAGTCGTCCGAACGTGACTTCGCTCACCATCAAATCACGTCAGATAGGATCAGCTCCCCGCCAAAGTGTGGCTCATGTGTGAGCAGGCGTGTGTCTGTGTTATCGAGATCCTTATCTGTGAGGGCCCAGACTGCAGGGACCTGATGATCAGCATAATTCCCCAAACGGCAGGGTTTTGAAAATGATACAAGTCTGAATAAGAGCTCTTTGTTGTGCAGTTTGAAAATTCATGTAAATAAAGATCACATTGTGAAAATTTTCTTTGTTTAAATATCTTAATTTAAAACTACCTGATTTCCTGGAAATGTTTGTTATTTAAACATGCAGTTGTAAAAAGGAATGGTGTAAATAAACATGTTCTCTTTCAATGCGCCTGTATATGTCTTTTACTTACTTTGAGCTCGTTTGAGTTCAGTTCCAGGAAACAGCTTTCACTTAGAACACGTGCGTGTGGCGCTGTGCGGCCTACTGATTCTTAAGTGCCTCTCACGTCACTTGGAGGAAAGAGTCTGTATTTTGGTTTTAATTCAGTTATTTCTTTCATGGCCCATGTTCTAGCTCCACCCAGAATACTTAAAGTCGTCCAGTTAATAGGCTCCCTACTCATAGCTGCCAAGAGTGCCGAGTTGTGATTTCCACCTTGGCCTTGCAGGGAGAGGCAGAGTACTTTCAAACCACAGCAAACGGAAAAGGGAAGCTCGTACCTTTGATGGGGAGGGCTCACGCAGTCCCAACAAACACCTTTCAGAAGCTCCCTTCTTGACCTAGAAGCCCAGAAAAGGCCCCTGAAGTGTCCCAGTCGTCATGTAAAACATACTCGAGATGGACTATTATTTAATGCTGACATGAATAAATAGTAATGACTAATTTTCAGAAGCAGGTGTGACATTAGTGATCAGAGGTGACAACGAGTGAGGATATGAAGTATAGATGTGCACTTATCCTGCTGTGGGTTTGTTTGAAACACCCTAACAAGCCATCCTCATGCCTGCCTTTGCCGAGCTCCATGACCACCCCTCCTTCATTTAGGCAAATGGTGCTGTTCTCAGACACCTACTGAGGCTGCATACAGTTCACTGAAAGTACCAAATCCCGTGTTTCTGTGAAAGAGCAACGACAGTCGTAGTTCAGTATATTCAGGTTTTCTTCAAGATCAAATTCCTGAGAAACCTTCCCTGTCGCTCAGTTGACTTATACCCGAGAACAGAGAGAAAGTGGTCTCTGGCCCGACTGTTCAGCCTCCCAAAGCTTGTTCACCAGGGGAGGTGGGACCAAGGTCGACTGCCACACACGCCTGCATTTCAGGGCGTACATGCCACGCAAAGTATGGGCCGGGGGTCATGTAAACTCTGTCTTCTCCCCATCTTTGAAAGAAGGCAAAACTCACAGCATCCTCGAGGTGGATTTCATCTATGGAATGCGCCCTCATCCGAAGTCAGCACGCCGGGCGAATGAGGACCGGCAAGGACTGTCTTTGTCAGGAGGGACAGGATCTCTGCCTGTGTTTCCCAGGTGGAATTGCCAGCATTCAGTAAGGGCTACGGCGTGCAGGTGGCTATGTTCTTACTCGTTCAGTACTAGTAAAAGCCCTGTGTGGTGTAGGTACTGTTGTGTCCCCATTTTAAAGATGTGGAGACTGAGGCACGGAGAGGTTAAGTGACTTGCCTAATGGTCTGGTTATCTATTGCTGCGAGACAGGTCATCGCAATCCTTAATGGCCTGAACAACTGTTCTTGGATGGTCTCAGAAGGTCAGGAACCCAGAAAGGGCCTGGCCGGGCACTTCTGGGCGGGGTCACTCCTGCGGTTGTCCCACTAGCTGGAGTTTTTTAGGCACCTCCCGAGGGCCAGTTTTGGTGCTGCTTGCTGAAGACATGAAGGAGCCCGGTTCTTGAAGCCCAGTGGTCCAGCTGGAGACGCTGCCAGGTGAACCCTCTCCACACGGCGTCAACCTGCTCCGCACGGTGTAAACCAGCTCTGCACGGTGTAAACCCGCTCAGAAGCAGGTAGAAGGCGGGTGGGTGGGATGTCTGGGACTGGCTTTCAAATGCTCCAGGAAACAGGCACGAAACAAACAGGTTGGGGAGAAATGTGCAGAAAAATATTTGGAAAATGTTGATAATTGCTAAAGGTGGGAAAAGGTGCGTGGAAGCCTCATTTCCTTCTACTTTTAGATATATCTGAATATTTTCATAATAAAAACATAATGAAAGGTACAAGGTCGCAGGAGCCCCAGCGGAGGGGACTGATTCTAGGCCGTGCGTGCGGAGCAGCGGGAGCCAGGGCTCCTTGCGGAGGTGGTGCAGCGCCGCCTCCAATTCCTCGCACAGTTGCTGTGTTTTACTCGTGTGGAAACGCGTTTCCACCATCCCGAGCAGATAATGTTATGGGAGCCGGGCTTTGGAGGACATGCAAACGTCTGTAGAACAGACAAATCAAGGACGCTCTTCCAGGGGATCCCGGCCGTGCTGGCTGGCGGCCACCTGCCAGCACCGTGGCCGCCGCGTGCTTTCCGCGGGGACAGACTCGCCCGCTGCTGAGCAGAGCTGGCGTCGCTCCTCCTGCCTGAGACGTTCACGTGCAGTGATAAGAGAACTGGGGGGGAGTGAAACTCACCTGAGAACTGGGGGGGAGTGAAACTCACCTGAAACAGGAAGAATGCTGCCTGGGGTCACCACCTCCGAGCTGGAGAGCTGGGCTTTGCCTGCTGGAATCAAAGGATTGGGGATGAAACTTTTCTCTTTTTAGCTTTATCATGCTCATCAGATGGGAGGATTATAGTTTGAAAAATGTTTGATGTTGGGTGCTAATCGACCATCATTGTCTCAACAAAGGACTGGATCCCAAATCCAAATTTAACAGAAAAAAGTGCTATATTCAAGATGCAATGCTGAATTATTTAAACAGGGCAGGAGGGGCTCTGTGATGGCGCATGATTTTCCTCAGAGGCGTTAGCTGCTCAGACTACATTTACAATGTCTTCTGCACCCTGATTGCCATCCTTTATTGCATTTTCTTTTTTATTGTGAAAATTACCAAACACACAGAAAAGTAAAGACTATAACGCACTTACCTGCTTTTGCTCGGCTTCCGTAGCTGTAATGCTTTGCCATCTACGTGGTCTTGTACCCCACCCACACCTGTTCCCCACTTAGATAATTCCACCCGTAAGTAACAGGACTTCCTAAAAACGTAACCACAATGTATTATTAATAATTACCAATAACTCCTTAAGCTCGTCTAATTCACAGCATAGATTCAGTTTTCCTGACTGACTAAGCAGTCTTTTCAAGGTTGGTTGGAATCAGCATCCAAACAAGGTCGATCATTATATTTATGTCTCACAAGTCATTTTAAAAGTTTCATTTACTGTAGAACAGCCCCTTCCCCCTTTTTATCCCTGGTCATTGAAGTGTTGAAGAAATGCAGTCAGTTATCTTGTAAAATACTCCACCTTCCGGTGTTGTCTGGTTGCTTGCCCGGGTGTCACTGAGCTTGTGTCTCTGTCCCCTGCGTTTCCTATGGATGGTGAGAGTTGGGGAGCAAAGCTTGCGCAGTCCCTAGCTGTGGCCTGCCTCTGTCCCTGTTTTCTCTTGTATTTATGTCTCATATTTGGCATGCTCCTGTCCGGTTGCCTCGCCTTTAGTGCTGCTCAGCTGATCAGTGGGTTAGAGGATGACACCCTAACCGCCTTATTAAAAGTTTCAACTAAACACCCACCTGGCAAGGGTCTGAATCGATGAATTAGAAGCTGTAAAATGTAATTTTAAAATGCTATTCTGCATTTATTGGCTAGAGTTATTTTGTATAGAAACTTCCCCCTCATCTATTAGGTCTGTTAAATTACCCTAAAATAAAGTTACTGTAGGAAGGAGAGAATTTTCAGTAGCTTAATTCTTTCTCCTTATAACTTTCAGAGCAATGAGTTGGTGCCTTCCGCTTGCTCTAATGTTGTTCAAGGGCTTTGGTTTGGGTTCGTCGTCACTGTTTCCCCCTATCCTGTGAAATAACCACGTACCGGAAGGCTGGAGGACAGGCATGTCGGGTTGTGTGATTTGATGGCTTTGACATTTTCGGTAGCAGCAGCTGGTTCCTCGGAAGGAGACCAGCGCCCTCCTCCTGGCTTCATCGGGACCAGGGCCTAGGGGTGCATCTGCCGCACCCACCTGCTTAAAGCTTCTACTTTGAAAACTCAAACTGGCAAGGAACCTCCAGCTGTAAAGATAAAACCAACACCATGACGTCTACAGACTAGCAGATAGATACCCACTTTCTTCCTCCTTATAGTTGCAAACCTTTAGCAACCATACACTGAAAATCAGCATCCCGCTGTTGTAGACCGTCCGAATGATTGCCTCGGGAAACCGGTGCAAGAGCCGGGCCTGAAGGAACGCCGGAATTGTGTTCAATCAGTTATTTTGCGTGAATTCTTTAAAACCAGGTGATCTTGGCTTGATGGCTTTCTCATCACACACACAGTTAAAAATTGTTCAGGACGCTTGTTCAGGACGGCGAGGCAGAGGGCCTCCTGCCCTGGGGTTTTGTCAGGGAGGGGGGGGACTCGGCCCACTACAGCCGGGCGGGGAGGTGGGGCTCAGGGTTGGAACATGGCTCAGAGGAAACAGCAGTGGCAGGGGACTCTGCCAAAGGCGACCAGGGTGGTCAGGGACCAAGGATTCCTCCTTAAACCGGACTCTCCCCAGACAGGGAGGGAAGGCCAAGGCCGGGCCTCAGGGAGCAGGGGGCTCAAGGAGCCTGGCTCAGGTTTGGTGGGAGGAGAGCGTCTGGGTCCAGACCCAGAACTAATCCCGGCGACACTGTGTTTTTCAGGTTAATAATTCCTCTCTCAGGCAGTGGAGTGTTGACTGTTCTGAGTCAAGTCTGAGCCCGCCGGTAAGCGGAGCCTCTCTTTTCGAGTGTCGCCTCGCCTCGCCCTGGAAAGTGAGACCAGCTGCCCCTGAAGAGCGTGGCTGAGGGGCCCCCATGCGTGAAAACGGTCCCACCACCCAGGACGGCGGGGCGACCGACTGGCGGGGTGACCGACTGGCTCCCAGTTGTTTGGAGCAGAAAGAAATTTCCAAAGTGGTCAGACAGGCTGGGTGACTTCGGGACAATGAGCTTTTATGTTTTAAAATCGGAACCCAGCTGTGAAGGGAAAGGTTTTCAGGGACTTAGCTGAAAAACAGCTTCAGAAGCCGGAGCTGGTGGAGCTGAGCGCTTCGCCACGGCCCCACTGCCGCGGGGTGCAGCTCCCAGGCCATGTTCCCAGGGCCCTGCCCG